CTGCTGCTTGCGCTGCCAGAGGCCCTCGACGCCGGCGGCGAGGTTGGCGCGCCGGTGCTCGGCCATGCGGCGGCGGACGTCGGTTGCGGAGCCGGGGCGTGCGGGCTGCTGCGAGGCGGCGTTCGTGGGCAGGGGCGCTGACTTGGCGAGGAAGTCGGGCTGGAGCTTGGGGTCGCGGGCGCCGTCGGGGAAGAGGGCGCGAGGCACGGGCAGCGTGCCCTTGGGCTTGAAGGGTTTGGACTCGGAGGCCCGGTCCTGGCGGGCGCGCGGGATCTGGATCCAGTCGGGGGACTCGGGGGATATGCGTGGCAGGCCCCTTTGCTGGGACGTCGTGGTCGAGAAGGATCGGGAGGTCAGGGATTGAGAGGTCGAGCGGCCGAGTGGCAGCTTCGTGAGCGCCGTGCAGGAGCAGCGGGAAGCCATGGTGAAGGCAAGGCGAGCCAGTCGATGGTCGTGGCCTCGAACGATTGATTCGAGCGGGATTGGCTGGCTGGATGAAGTGATGGTGGATGATGAAGCTCGACACGATGCTCTAGAGAAAATCTCAGGATTGTCAAAGCTTCCGCGAACACCAGGGGTGAGCTTAATACTTCTGGGTGCAATGATGGGAAATGCAACTGTGGGGGTGTCATCAGGCACTGGGGGTAGTGATAACATAGCAATAAAGCCCTTCCATTGGTCACTCGGCCAAACGCCCTCCGTGGCTCCGTGTTCCCCACCTAAAAAATTAGGGAGGCAGAACGGCGAAGAGAAAAAAAGTCGATGGTCCCTCCCCGCCATAAATCTTCCCTTTCTGCAGCATCAAGCTCCTGCGACTGCGACCCCGATCCCTCGCAGTTTTCACTTCTTCCAACTCCTTTCACACTCCTACAAAAGGCAAGGAAGCCGCCAGCACCGTATTCACCCCGATTCCTGCAGCGGCTGCACCCAATTTCGCAATGGGTACCCAGAAGAAGGAGGCGAACCGCAAGGTTCGCGAGGGCAAGGCGGGCGAGTTTGCCAACATCAAGACTAAGGGCGAGAACTTCTACAGGTGAATACTCTCGCCGGAAACCATTATCCCCCACGCCGCCATGCTGACAATGCCTCAGGTCTGCCAAGAGAGTCAAGGCCCTGAACATGCTGAAGGATGGCAAACCCACGAGGAACGCCGCCGGAGACATCACCATTGCCGCCTCCTTCCAGAGCCGGGATGTTCCCAACGCCAGGATAGAGCCGAACCGCAAGTGGTTTGGCAACACACGTGTCATCTCCCAGGACAGCCTGAACGCCTTCAGGACCGCCATGGCCGAGAAGACCTCCGACCCCTACTCAGTCCTCCTCAAGACCAACAAGCTTCCCATGTCGCTCATTCGCGATGAGACGAAGGATGCCAAGGGTCAGAAGAAGCACCACGCCAAAATGACGATTGAAACATCGTCGTTTGCTGACACCTTTGGTCCCAAGGCCCAGCGCAAGCGAGTCAAGATTGGTGCCGGTAACCTGGCTGATCTGGCGGATGATGTCGACAAGAGCATGGACACATACGAGGAGCGTCGCGAGCAGGCGAAGCTCCTGAGTGGCAACTCCGGCGAGGCTGAGGACGAGGCGCATGTTGGCATGTCAATCGAACCCATCTTCAACAAGGGTCAGAGCAAGCGTATCTGGAACGAGCTCTACCGCGTGCTCGACTCGTCCGACGTCGTCATTCACGTGCTGGATGCGCGCGACCCTCTTGGTACCAGGTGTCTGAGTGTTGAGAAGTACCTCAGAGAAGAGGCGCCGCACAAACATCTCATCTTTGTATTGAACAAGACTGATCTCGTCCCCACAACTGTTGCTGTAAGTCATTCTTTCTTTTCTCTTTACACACCCTCTTTTCCCCAGTGGTCTTGTCAGGAAGCCAACCGCACTACGGTGCCCGCAATGGATGGTTTGCGTTACACCCTGGGAAAATCAAACGCCGTCTCGCTGTCTTGGCTCTCGGGCCTTGGCTGATAGTGTCCGTTTTGGAATTTCTATCATGAGACTGGTACTGCTTGACATTGAGTTGAAATCTGCCGGTACTTGTTACAGCCTTTCGTGGCGGCATTTCTTAGTAGCTCGAGCGCACATATTTTTCACTTGCTACACAGTTCTTCTGTTCGACGACAGTCACTGACTAGAAACAGGCTCGTTGGGTCAAGTTCTTCTCCAAGCAGAGGCCGACACTCGCGATGCACTCCAGCATCACGAACCCCTTTGGCAAGGGTAGTCTTATTGAACTGCTTCGTCAGTATGCAAAGCTGCACAGCGACAGGAAACAAATCTCGGTGGGCCTCATCGGCTACCCAAATGTGGGCAAGAGCAGCATCGTCAACACGCTGAGAAGCAAAAAGGTTGCCACTGTTGCGCCTATCCCTGGCGAGACCAAGGTCTGGCAGTACATCACTCTTACCAAGAGGATATACCTCATTGACTGCCCGGGTATCGTGCCTCCTTCTCAGACCGACACGCCAGAGGATATTCTCCTTCGTGGCGTCGTTCGTGTTGAGAACGTCGACAACCCCGAACAGTACATCCCTGGCTTGATGAAGAAGGTGAAGCCACACCACCTGGAGAGGACCTACGAGCTCAAGGGCTATGAGGATCACATCCAGTTCTTGGAAATGCTGGCACGGAAGAATGGTCGCTTGCTCCGAAAGGGCGAGCCGGACCTGGATGGTGTTGCCAAGATGGTGCTGAACGACTTCATGCGGGGCAAGATTCCCTGGTTCACGCCAGCGCCCGTGGAAGAGGATGCGGATGCGAAGGAGAGCAACGAAATAGAGGGCCGAAGTGGAAGACTTGGCGAGATGCCTCTGAAGAGGAAACGGGCGGGAGACGCCGCGAGCGTCCCTGGCACTTCGATGGGTCCCTCGACGCCGGGAGCTGGCTCGGTTGCTGCAGCTGATGAGGAGGATGAGGAGTTTGACGGTTTTGCTTCTGAAGACGATGTCGAATCGGATGAGAAGGATGAAAAGAAACCGACAGACGCCGAGTGCTCTGATGATGCTGACGACGTCATCTCGCTTGGCGCCTCAAGCGACGACAGCGATGCTGGTAGCAAGGGCACGAGCCTGAAGACATCAATCGCTTCACAGAGCGAGAGGAGTCTCAGCAGAGGATCCAGCACCAAGAGGCGGAAGAGAACTTGAGCTACCTGCCTGGCCGAAGAGAAGAGGGAGAAGCAAAAACCATGATACCCATCACGATCGGAAATAACGGACCAGCGCTTTGCAGTTTACCATGGATTCGGTGACACCATAAAATCGTCTGATGCCTTGTGTTGACCTGCTTGCGTCGATGTCGATTTGCTCTTTGATCGTGACCAAGACCGAGTCAACCGGGTTAGTTCGCCTCGGCGAGGCACAATTCAGTCGTTGGGAATACGAACTCGTAAAGAGCCTCCCTCCTGCTAGATGCCCGCCACCCGCGAACGATGCCGCCTCACCCGAGTAGGCCGGTTCGGCTACGACGGTTGTTCCTCCACCCGCCCCGCAACCCCGGTTCTGTGCTGATCGAGACGTTCAAACCAGATGATCTTCACTTGGGTTGGTTTAGGTCAACGCCATAACATCGACGGCTTTCGCACCAGCTCAGCCTAGATAGTCCGGATCAGGCAGTGACAGTGGATGACAGACAGCATGCATGTTCGAAACAAGAAAAAAGTGTACCGTGCTTCCATCGGTCGGCTCCACGAAAGCAAGTATGACAACATCCACTTACAATATCGAGGAACAAGAACTTCCCCATCTGAGAGGTCATACCAGTTGGTGATGCCTCATCCGGCAGTCATCAGCGGACCTTCAAGCTCTGCAAACCTCTTCAAGTCGCGCGTCCCCGACACGATCTGCTGGTGCACTGTTTTTCATTCTCAATACGAGCCACTAACAATTAAGCGAATACAGAAAGCTAAAATGTCGGCGCCCTACCGACCTACCATTCAACGTCATATGACACTCACCCTCGAATTCCCGCCATGTCCAGTGATTTGACTTTCTGGACGGGCGTGGCCGTCACCCTTGCACCCCACGATGCCCGAGGGAAATACTTCGCGGCAGGACCAACGCCTTGGGCCCCAGTCCTTGTTTTCAGTCGCTTGTCGGCCCTAACGGCGAATCCCCGCCCAATCTTCACATCAGACTTGCGCTGGCGAGTGATGGTGGGTTGGTGCCAGCCACGTAGTGCTCTTACAGGAGCTGCCGAGAGAGTTGACTGTGATCGATATTGGTGTCTCTATTCACAACACACTCACTCACCTTTCACCTTGACTGCCGCCCCCCCCCCCCCCCCCCCCCCGAAACCGACCAGGTTCAAAGCAAGTGTCACGGGTGACAGAATTGTCCGTGGCAGGGATTAACAACAGCTCATGAAGCTTCTCGATTAATGTTAATCACCGTATTTCACCGTCCACCAAGTTCAAAAACCTTATGCTGGGAGAGCCCATAGAGTCACATCACCAGCCTCCGCAGTGGAGATGCCAACGGCCCATCGGCACGTCGTCTTTGTCCTAGAGTCGATCACCCCACCCTGACCTCATGTGGGTTTCCTAGTCAACAGGCTCAACGTTGCAAAACCCCGAATCGCAACGCTCTCAGCAGCAACTAGACTGATAGCTGTGAGGCGGCGGTGCTGGTGCCTCACGACTGGAAGCTCCCAAAACAGTGGTCATCAGCGTCACATTGCTCCGCAGGTGACGTGGTATTTGCTCGATACGGCGCCGTCGAGAGCGTTGATTTGTGTTCTCTGTTTCCAAGTATAGCATCCATGATTTTCAACGACCGTGAGGGAGGAAGGGAGTATGTGATCCATCCTGGTTGCCACGGCGCTGGCGTTGCGCCGGTCATGACATCTATATAAGAGATGAAAAACCTCCCTCAAGTGGCATTCCTGTGTCACTCTATCACCTTCTCATCACCTCTACAGATTCTTTGAACAGCCATACAACCCTCAGTCCGTACCTCTCTCGTACTTTTCTGTTCATCAATTCACAAGGCAACATGAGATACACACTCGCTTCGCTGGCCTCGCTGGCCGCCGCCGCCCAGGCCCTTGCCCCTCGTGGCGAACAGTGCTCTTTCCACCTGAAGGCGGCCGGTTCAGCGTCTGGCAATATTGGCCAGCTCAGCAGTGGCCAGGCCAGGATCGGCCTCAGCCCGGCAACCTTCAAGCTGGACGGTGACACAGCCTGGGACTCCCAAGGCCGCGGATGCTGGTGGACTCGTATGTTCACATGTTCCCCTTCAAAGATACCACTGCTAATATTTGGAAGCCCCCACAAAGCTTCTCCAGTGCGACGTGGGCCAGATACCCGAGAAGGGTTGGAAGTTTGAGTGTGACGGCTCCGTCTCGTTCAATGGGCAGAAGGAATTCTACCAGTGTGACGCCGACAATGGCCAGTACAACATCTACCTCCTCAACGGTCAGGGCAAGGACTGCGCCAAGGTGACGCTCACCTCTGACGGCTGCACGCCCCAATGCCCCAAGCCAAAGCCCACCGAAGCCCAGCCCACCTGTCCCCCCAAAGAGACTGTCACCGTAACCCAGCAACAGCCCCCCAAGACCACCACGGTGACCCAGATCATCACGAGTGTCGTCACCCAAGGCTGCCCGGCCCCTCCTCCGCAGACCCAAGTCCAGACCATGACCAAGGTCGTGAGCCCGCCTCCTCCCCAGCAGTCTCCGCCCCCCAAGTCGTGCCCGACCAACCTCTCCGGCCCCTACGAGTTCCCCCACCTGATCATCCCCGTCGACAGCTCCAACCCGGACAAGGCCGCCGGCACGTCGTACAACGGCCAGGCCGACTCCAAGATCTCGTCCATCTTCAACTTCGACATTCCCGGAAGCTTGAAGGGCAAGACGTGCAGCCTCGTCTTCCTGTTCCCTAAGAAGGAGAACCTCGAGACGTCCGACTGGAAGCTCAGCGGCTCGGGCGAGGTCGTCTTCTCCAAGCTCAAGGGCGTCGCCACGCAGAAGACGACGGCGAACAACGCCCCCGCCGTCGAGTCGGAGCTGAAGACGGTCCAGATCGTGCCCGGCAACGGATACTCGATCGCCACTTTTGACTGTCCTGCTGGCAACGCTGTCAGCTTCCAGCTGAAGAGCAAGGGCGACACCTCGCTCTGGTTCTTCGAGGACTACAACCCCTCGCCTCTGGGTCTGTACATCACCGTCTGCTAAGTGCAGCACACGAACTTATAGTATGATCATATAATAACACGAATGTTTGCGATGATGGATGATAATGGTAATAATGGGCGGAGGAGCCGGACACGATGGTACATAGCATTTAATGATACACTCCTTAATCTAATCATTGCCACACATCAACTGGCTATCGACGAAATACCTGTGTGCATACTGCGATCCCAGAACAATACCGCATGTATGCGACCTGGCCTTTTTGTTTCTGAGTACCCTACTGAGGGCTATGCACATGTTGCTGCTTGAGGCGTTATGGTTAAGTACCTAGGTACCTCAGGTACGTACCTACCCAGGTAAGGTAAGGTAGTTTAGGATCGTGTATGCCTGATGAGGAAGACAGGTCGACACGGCAAAATCATTCATCATAATGGTGCCAGGGAATTCAGTGACATCTACTTAAGCTCTTAGGCATATGTACAAGCATTAGTCCCATCATAAGGTTGGCGCCACTGTAGTTTGTTTCCAACACAAACTTCGGAAGGAGCGTCAAAAAAGCCAATTTGAGATGCAGGGAAGAAACAAACACTCTGTTTGGCAAAGCTTCGACGTTGCCTGGGTCAGGTACCTCATGAGAGTCAACCACAGCTTCATGCTTGCTTTCTTCGCTTTCTATTGGAAAGAGAGCCTAACAACATCAAGATAGCTGCTGAATGCTCTTGGTTCCTGACTCCAACATATTTCCCTGCGACGAAGAGTTCCGTTCACCCCGGGGATAAAGGCCCGTCGACGACAATAATCAAGTCATCATCAACAGCCCCATGGTTCTCATGGCTCCACCGAAAGGCGAGTCTTCTAGCGCGATTTCATTAAAGAAAATCAGCGGCAGCAGTGTGGCCCGCGGTGTCTGCACTGCTGTACGTCGAGTTGAGGAACACATCGTTACTATGAAGAATAGGATGGCATACACACATGGTCCTCTAAGCATAGGAGGGTAGCAAGCAAAACAAAGGAGAAGACGCATCGAGGTCGACTTCGTCCATAGCAAGTAAGAACGGCTACTATATCATGATTGGGCCAATTCAGCAATGCGCTTGTCGTAGTGGCCCTGTCACAGTCGCCTTCACGGCTTGTCTGCCCGATCACCCTCTTCACAATGTACACGGAACTGAATTTCTTGATGGAGCTTATCTGACACAATCCGTCTACCATCTGTTACCTCCTTCTTATTCCTCTTCGTCATTCACGTGGACTGTTCAGCACCTGCACAATATCCGGACCTTCTCACTACAACCAGCTTGACGATACAGCCCAGAGCAACCCAAGACCCGACTGCTTTTACCATTGATCACCCCCACTGTAACATGGCTGACAGCGCAAGAACCGCGGAGCGCTGCAAAAACGACGAGGACTGGCAGGCATTGATCGGACCGCGCATCGAGTTATACGGGCGGCGTACCCGCAGCTGAGTTGGGATTATGCCAACCAAACGACCTCTGCACCTCTCTCTTGCAGCAGCTTTAGTAGAAGATGCACCCTAAGCAACCTCAGCCACTACAGAATCTGTACATACCGCAAAAAGAAAGGCGAACCAATCCTGGATGAGGACATTGTCGTTCTTGTCGTCCAGGGCCAAGCAGGCGCATTGCCTGGCGCCCTGCGAGAGGACGCTGCTTTGGTCGAGAAACGCAACAGATACGCCGCTGTCCTCAGGCTGTCTAGCATCGTGTCGGTTATCAAAAACTCCAGGAGGCGACACGAAGAGACAGATAATGTTTTGAGCCCGAAACGAAGCTCACGAAAAGCCTCGAGGCTTCCGACGGGCAACGTCACATGGTCCAAGGTATCGGAGAGTTTTTTGAACGGTTCCCCAGTCTGCCCTGCTCCAACTCGACTGGCCATAAATTTGGCGTCGGGTATGAAACTGACGCCATTCATGACGGCGACAGGCTGCCGGACTACAGCTCTCGTCTCAGGGCCCGGGCTCGTCAGGAACCCACTGATAGGGCACATGTAGTTCCTACCACGGAGAAGTCGTCATCAAAGCATGGCGAAGTTGTAGTATGGCAAGGCTGTCCTACGTGAAATGGCTGGGCTTCCAATGGCTACGGGAACGCTATAAATTGTTCGTCGTCAATCTCATGGGCAAGGAGTCGGATGTTTTAGGGATGTCGGGCTGGTAGAGCTATTGGCGACGAACCCACCAGAATGACACGTAGAAAGCATGAGCAGAAAATCAGATGCACCCGACAACCAGGCACTGACATGGCAAATATCAAGTGGAAGTGCTGGCTACGTAGCAGCATAACCTTGATGATATCAATGTGAGAATATGAAGGCAGGCAGGTACCCACTTAGAAGCAGTGAATGAGTATTGTAAAGGAATATTGAACAGCCCGAGAAGTGGTGAATGAAAGACCTTATTCGATGATGAACATGAATGAGTTCACTAGCCTAGGGGATTGATTTTCTTCCTTTTGGTGTTCACTGTCACTTCACATTCACAACTTTCAGCCATAAAACATCCGCTTTTCCATCAACGAAGTTCTCCTTAGCGCCCTAGATCCGTCGATTCTTCACCAGAGACCCAGCAGAAGCGGAAGAAAAACGTTTCCCCGACTCTTTACTTGTGGCGCCTAACTCGACTCGAGGATTTTGCGACAAGATGTCTTCAACTCCAGCTGCCCATGTGATCCCCGCGTCCGAAATTATCATCAAGTATGCAGATACAATCGAAGCTGCCATTGATTATGTAAAAATTCTCAAGGACTTTGGTGATTGTGTCATCAACGGCGAAGATGCCTCGGACCACCTCTGGAATATCGAGGACCACACCCCCACGTCCCTCCAGCGCGTCATGGGGGAGCTTCACGAGGTTCTCGGTTTCATCGAAGAACTATGGCGGTTACAGAAACTCAAAGAAGCTGGACAGATGAGCTCCACTGAGCCCATGGATTGCAACAAGGAAAGAGCCACGAGCACCAGTAGCAACGAAAACGCCAGCCCTCCTCCTCTCGACAATTCGCCGGCGAAGCGTGGAAACAACAACGGGAGTGCATTCGCTGCCGCCAAAGAGAGCAAAGTCATCTGATTCTTTGCAGAATCTGCCTTGATCAACACTGCACATGGAAATGGAGGCAAGCCATAGCCTCACTAGGTAGACAAGGCCGGAAAGGGCGAGCAGAAAGCGCATCGCGGGGTGAAGTCATTGTTCTAGAAAGAAAAAAACATTGCTGATTCAAAAGGCTGTGCTTGAGCGCAGGGGTTAAACTCTCATTGATACTAGTCCTCGCGTTACGTTCAGTATCCGGATGGTGATTGAGCTCGTCCACGCCCCTTGTCTGCAGCATATAGTAACAATCCGAACAATTTGTGCATCAAAGCACCGAGGCTGCGCTGAAGACCGCGCGCCAGTACAGAGATTGCCCTTCTTGAACAGTTCACAGCACAAGCGCCCCAAAGATCAAGTCGAAGACGTCGGAAGTCATCTGAGTATCGGTTACCTCTGTACTCCATCTCTTGATCGGACATTCGTTGCTGTTGAGCTTCACAGGTCTTAGGTACCTTGCTCTGCTTCAAAATATCAATTCAAGACCTGCCTTGCGCCAGAGATTCAAATGTGCTCCACAGATTATGCCACTATGAGCTCAAGTGTGAGGTGACTACTGCAGAGATGAAGCAGAAGATCCAGACGTTCTTTGTGGCGAACCATGGGAACAGGCACATCCCTGTCCCAGAAGCGCTGCCACGAGGCTGATTGGTCTGGACGCCTTACTTGCCCAAAGGGGTAAGTACAGCACACGCCCTTGGTGTCCGGGGACTCCTCAGGACGACCGTGTGGATAGCACGAGTCGAGCTATCCAAGTCTCTTCTGCCAACAGTATTAAAGGGAAATCGGACATCATGAGAACCAATTCGAAGCAGTTTCTCATCAGTGTCAAGATTACCTCATACTCTACTGAGCAGACGCCATAGCCAAACAACATGGTCCGCCTCGCCCCCTTCGAAGTCGAGAGATGGATGGATGAGTATGAGGTTACGCCTGGCGTCATCAACATCGCCGAGACCTGTGCCGCCTCTATTTCTATTGATGAGCTCGTCGCGCTCTCCGAAGATACGTCAGGCAAGAGCCCCATCGACACCTCGACATGTCTTGTCTACGGCGCCATTCCCGGCTCTCAGGCCCTCCGCAGCAACATTGCCTCCCAGCATGAGAGTCTCTCGTCCGAGAACGTGCTCATCACGCAGGGCGCCATAGCTGCCAACTTTCTGACTCTCTACACCCTCGTCGGCCCCGGCGACCACGTCATCTGCGTCTACCCTACCTACCAGCAGCTCTACAGCGTGCCCCGGAGCCTGGGCGCCGACGTCACCCTCTGGAAGCTGAAGGCCGAGAACGGCTTCGTCCCGGACGTCGCGGAGCTCGAAGCCCTCCTCCGGCCCAACACCAAGATGATCATCATCAACAACCCCAACAACCCGACCGGCGCTTCGATTCCGCGCTCCGTGCTCGCGGCCCTCGTGGCCACGGCGCGCGCTCGAGACATCACCATCCTCTCAGACGAGGTGTACCGCCCGCTCTTCCACGACCTCCACGACGACGCCGCTGCCGCCGTGCCCCCCTCCATCACGGGCCTCGGCTACGACAACGTCATCGCCACGGGCTCCATGTCCAAGGCCTACGCCCTCGCCGGCATCCGCATCGGCTGGATCGCCTCGCCGCGCGCCGCCCTGCTCGCCCGCCTCGCCTCGGCCCGCGACTACACCACCATCAGCGTGTCGCAGCTCGACGACCAGGTCGCCGCCTACGCGCTGGCGCCGGCCGTGCGGAGACCGCTGCTGCGGCGCAACGTCGCCCTCGCGCGGACGAACCGGGCGCTCGTCGAGGCCTTTGTCGACGCGCATGCCGGGGTCTGCAGCTGGGTGCGGCCGAGCGCCGGCACGACGGCGTTCCTGCGGTTCGAGAGGGATGGCGCGCCGGTGGACGACGTGGCGTTTGCCAAGGACGTGCTGGACGAGACAAAGGTGTTCTTCGTGCC